AGAGCTGGATGAACACTGCAGGCCAAGCAGCATCATAGGAGCCGGAAAGCTGATGTTTCGGGTCTAGATCCTTCAGAAAAAAATCGTATTTCTTTTTCTGAAGGGTCTAGGCCCGAAACGTCAGCTTTCCGGCTCCTATGATGTTGCTTGGCCTGCAGTGTTCATCCAACTCTACACCTTGTCCCTTTCATAACTGTTGCATTACAGTGACAGTGACTTGGGGCAACTAAGTATGAAATATGAAGAATAAACATAGTTAAACTATTTCGTGCATTTTACATAGCGCCTTTTGGTAGTAAAATGTCACCAATCGCAAAACCTGTGGAGATACTGGGACGTTAAACGATTCCGCCTTTTTCTCTTGGGTGGAGGTGCACACGGCTACACTCTAGCCCCTGTCCAATACATCTGTGGAAAATGTGCAGGTTTAGTATTCAATGGTAGCTACCCCGGTATATTGGCTTGCAGTTTTCAGCCTAGTATTTGAATTGCTAATAACTGAATCCTAAATCTTTTTAGTTTCTGGAGCAGAAATATGGATACTTCCACTGTAAAGAGTGCAACGCTCGCTGGGAGAGTGCATACGTCTGGTGTGTACAAGGTACTAACAAGGTAAGAGGTTTTTAGCTAATACATTACTATATGTAGTCTCTCCGGCTTTTTTCTCTAAATCGTGAATCTCCTGGACCGTCAGGTCTACTTTAAGCAATTTTGCAGAACCTGCGAGAAGGCCTACAACCCGTACCGTGTCGAGGACATCACCTGCCAAGTAAGTAACACAGGAAGAGCACAGCCTGTGTAGACGCTTTAATGAAAAGTGTCCCAGACTTGTTTTTTCCTGCCCATCAGACCTGCAAACAGACAAGATGCACATGTCCTGTCAAAATGCGCCATGTTGACCCGAAGAGGCCTCACCGCCAGGATCTGTGTGGGAGGTGCAAAGGCAAGCGGCTCTCCTGTGACAGCACTTTCAGCTTCAAATACATCATTTGATTTGGATGGTAGCGTTAACTCCTGCGAGGACTCAAGTTAATGGAATGCAAAAAACTTTGTTTTTGTCCTTTTTGGTTTATTGAAACGATCGAACAGCGCTTAAGAAAATAAAGTGTATAAAAAGCATATTCGTTTCCCTTGCCTTCACTCCAAATCGAATATTTACTTGTGGTTGAAATATTTGAAGATTAAAAATCTCTCTACCCTCTTTCCCTTTCCTCCCCTCAACCCTTACTGCGACCCTGTATTAAATACTACACAAACATTGTGGTTTGTGACTGAAGTTTGATTTCTGGAAACATTCATTTAGAATTTAGACCAGTAGTAAATGAACCCCATAGGCTCCCATTCCCATAGCAGTCAAGAACGTCGTTTTTGACCTCGCAGTTTTTTAAAAAAGGAAGCAGAAACTGGTGTTGTCCGTTTCTCTAAGGACCAGCTGTTGGGGTGAGTCAAGTTCTTAACTGCAAAGGTGTAAAAGATCACCTGTTTACATTAAATTTAGATGCAATAAAATCTGGAGTTAGTGCACTGAAATGTTAATGCAGTCTTTTTAGTCAAAAAAACTTCCATAGTTAGAACACCAGCTAAAGTTCTGTAGCTATTTGCTACAAATTGAACTTCCCACTCTGTCCATAAAAAGCTACTGTACTGTCATGCAATACAAGTGATCCAAGCTAGTTGCTTTTTTTGATTTCAAACTAAATCATTAGCTTATTCTAGTACTTGACAACTTGTCATAGCACAGTTAGGGCTTCCCCCTATATGGCCCGAGTAGATTTATTGCATCTCACAGAAGTGCTTGAATATGACCATGAATCAATCAAGTTTCTTTGCAAACTTTTTCTTAATATGGTAAACCTGTCAGCTTTAGCAGGGAATAGTGGTGATGTTTAGAATTGATTCCTTTTAAAAAATACAGACCAATGGGTTGAGTTGCCCTAATTATTTTAAGTGATGTCAATTTGTGGTGCAGAAGCACTTGATCAAAATATCTGTAGCTAGAGATAGCAAAGACCTTAGTACTTTTCTAGATGAGGAGCATATGCTATATATCACATTCTTTACCATAGCTAATATTAATTCTTTTTATGCACATGCACTTTTGGCAAGGTGGATTTTTAATCCTTTTGTACAACAGAAGACTGACAACATGTGTGCTACAGTTGACTAGTCAACTTTAGTGCAGGAATGGGGCAAGGTTCCCAGGAGTTATGTGGATACCTCACTTCTCTGACAGCTTATGAAGCACAAAATACAATTGTTTCAGGATTACATGTAGGGTGAATTTAAATGTAGACACAAAAACAAAACAATTTAAAATCCATGCAAGGAAGGAAATACATTACAGAAAGGACAAAAATAACTTCATTAGAATAATGGGAAGCATGATTAGGAATGGAAAAAGAGGTGTCATGTATACTGTAGTCAACAAAATGGAGGTAACTGTAACAGCTGTTGAACTAGCTGTTCCTGTTTGGATGATGAGTAATTATCTCCAAGAGGAGATCACAGTAAAAGGGGAACTGTAGTACAGTTGCTCACTGCTTTAGCTAAAGATTGGCAAATGTCCCTTTGATTTATAAACAACATACTTGGATAAACCTGTTAAGAAAATGTTACCATTTTTCACCAGTATGTCCACTAAATATTTAAACAGCCAAAATACCAAACTGCCAACAAAATAATTTATCATTGAAGAATGATTACAGTGATTTGTTAATTTGCTATGACTGGTTACAGAGCCTTAAATTATTGTTAACTACTGTTTGCAGTCTGATAGCATGCACAGTGCCTTAAACTCATACAATTCATCATAATTATTCCTGGTCTATAATGCACTTTTTCTCAAAAGGCAGATGCTATTAATTAAATAGTACATTCTACACTCCATGGTATAGAGCCCAATAAAAATCACAGTGGATAGGACAGATGCATATTATAAGCAGGGTCATTCCCAGCAAACAGATTTTTACATTCAATTTCTTTCCCCACAGAAAGCCACTGCTGCAAACAGAATCACAATTATGAAAGTTGGAGATTTTCAGTATTTCAGTCTTTTTGAGTATGTTGAAGGTTGCAGACTCATCCTTGACTTTCTTTCCCAATAACGAAGGAAAAATGGTCCCGAAGTTCGAATGAGTAGACAGAACAGTATCTGCTTTTCAGAATTATCTGTAAATTCACAGACTAGAGAGACAGCAGATAAAGACTCATTACCAGTACTTAGTTTTGTTTTCTTTTGCATTAGTTTTATACACCTATTCTCACAACAGTGCAATGCACAAATGTACAAGAAATACAATACTGATTTTACACTATACAGGTCTAAAATATTTACAGAGTAAAATAAGTTAGGTGAGTTCTCCTAAAATTGCTAGGATGAAGCACTTTTTATTTCTGCTGCCGTTCAGTTTTGAGTACCTACAGGCATATTTTTGGTTAGATACCACTGGTATTTATAACGATCACTGATCAGAGAGTATCTAACGTACACTGAACAGTAGGCAAAAATAACAGATGTAGAATTAGTTTACATTACTGAGTAAAACTCAGTTAAATTTACCTGTCAAGTATCCTAACTTTTATATAAGATTCTCTACAGCATACTATGGATCATATTAATTCTAATACAAAATAAATTTCCTTAAATGTTTTTTTCAGGCATGCTTTGAGACCTTATGAACTATTAACATTTTTATACTCTAAAGCCTGCAGTCAGTTTGTTCTAAATCAAGTCTTACAAATAATATTATTACCACATGGAAAGTGGCATTAAATAGTTTATGTAAGAGTTTGTCCATAGACACTATGAAAACAAAGCTGAAATATTCTTGTTGCCTTGAAGCCTTGCAGGTTATTCAGCCTAAAGCCATTTCCCAGATGAGTTTAGCATCATTCCACCTGCTACAGAGAGCCTCAGTGTCACTACTATACATTATTACAATGGAACTGGGTTGTCCTCAGAAAATGAAGAATAACACTTTTCTTCATTCCATGCCCTTTACCAGAAAATTGTTACACAGTCAATCCTATACACTTTGTGCACATGGAGTGATTTGCTGTTTAGTTCCATACAGCTATTACCCAGTCAATTGGTTTTTAACTGTCTACCATCTGGTTGCTTCATGTGCGTGACTATATTTTTATAAATAAAGACAACCTACAGCGTGTTCAAAAAAATTGAAGCCAATGTGAGGGATGTGATTAATATACATGATGCACCTTCTTATCAACACTGAAAGGGATGAAATTTGAGCCACTGCTGTTTCTTAAAATCCAGGTCTTTGAATATCTGAAGCTGATGTCTTTGCCAGAAGCTGGTATGACTGCACTGTTCGGAGAGACTCACGAATCTGCAGATTCAGTTCCATCAGTTTAGAGCAGACTTTGGATAAGTCCTGGTTAGACCCCACCACCGCAAAACTGCCAGTTTGACCCAGTGTTTGATGGCGGAAATAAATATGCAGGAGGGTTTGTACTGGATCATCGTCACAGTTTCCAAAAATATCATTGGGCCATCTAGATCTGTGGAGAGAGGAGAGATAAAAGGAAAATAATGCATAGGTATTGGTTTGCCAAGTTGAAGGCTATGCAATCAAATATAACCTATATCAAATCTATACAATGCATTAAATTAATTCTAGTTTTATTTTTTAAACATTTATAATATTATTCTTTCCTTACTAATTTGTCTAGCCTACAACAGACTGCCATTAACTAAAAGGCCTGCAAATTCTTGAAGCCCTACAAATTAAAGGAATTCCAAACTGGACACTTTGAACAAAAATTTTTCTATGTGCCATATTGTGATTATGATGATGATAATAAAACTGACTTGAACATTTTAAATTTGTATGTCTTTTTAAAATAGCAAAATGTTCAAAGGCACCTGACAACAGCATTATCAAACATGTGTTCACAGCCACATTAGATGATATAGAGAAGATAACTAAATGCTTTGTCAAAGAAATAGGTTTTAAGGAGTGTCCTAAAAGAGGCTGACACGGGAGGAAATGCACTGGCTGCTGAAAGCTTAGGGACTCCATGGTAGAGCAATGTTCAGGAAAGTTGGAGAATAGGCATCCTTGAAGATTTTAAGGGTGAAAGAGATTACAGAAATTGGAAAGGTCAAGACAACAGGGCTGTTAAAACAAGATGAAATAATTTTAAATTGAGGCATTACTTAAAAGGGAGCTAATATAGTGAGTGCACAGGGTGATGGGTGTGAATGGGAGTTGATGTGGATAAGGGTTGTAGCTTTGGATAGCCTCAAGCGTATGGAGAATCCACTAGGAATGCATTGGAATAGTTGTTTCTATATATATCAAAGGCATAGGTAACAGTTTCAGAAGCAGTTGAGATGAGGTGAGGTGGAAATCGGCGATCTTAATGAAGGTGTGAATATCTAGTTAGAAGCTTATCTCAGAGTCAAATATAACACCAAAGTTACTACAGTCTGGTTCAGCCTTAGCTTCTTGCTCAGGAAAGGGATGAAGACTGTAGTAAATAATACAATTTGTATTTGAAACAGAGGAAGATGACTTTAGTCTTCCGACTATTTAGTTGGCAGATTCATTTGCTCATTCGGGACTGGATGCCTCTCTGATTGTTGATCTACATTAGCTTCTAGTTAAACAATGCCTCAATTTTATATTCTTAACCTGATTTACAAAACCTTTCATAACCTTTTCTGTTCCAGTTTAGCAGCAAAACATGCACCATAAATACTGCAACAGCTGGTTGGAACAAAACAGTACAAACTCGATATCAAATATATTTTAGAAGTTCTTTTTTAAAAAAAATTAAAATAATAGGCTTTAGTATAAATTATGCTATGTGGTTCAAAGTACCAGTAAAAATGATCTTGTTGCACCAGAAATTTTTGGAAACAATCCAAACTGCTTAATGTGGTCTGTTCTTGCTGATGTTATTGTTTCATTAAATGACTATTGAATAGCTACATGAATTACCTGAATACTTTGACCTGAGAAAGTGCAGATGGAAATTCCTTGTTTCTTAAAGTTTCAATGAGCGAGTGAATAGCAATCTCTGTGCATGTCTGCAGGGCTTCAGAAACTTCAACTTCATTACTGAAATCTTCTGCCTCTTTCAGGCTGGCTTCCAACCGAGCCAGTTCCTCTGACATATTTATAACCTGAAAATGAATAAAAATGAGAATTTATGATTTCAGTTTTATTCCTGAGACAGTTTTTAAATTATTACTACCAACCTCCCATATATTACAGATTATTCTGTAAACAACTGAAGAACAATAGTAATTTAGTCTTCAAAACATGATGTTTCTCATTTCTATCAGGTGACAACTGAATGATGGACAGAATCTCCATACATAATTTGTAAAATGGAAATGAAATATATATATTGCACTATTATAATAATTCAGTGAACATTTGCTGTTGGACCCATTGTTAATCCATTCTTTGTCACCTGCGCTGTTGACTGCCAGATCAGGAGCATAACCAGCAACTGATACGTACTATTGATGTCAGCAGGCAAAAATTAGCCTCTTTCTGACTGATCAGGAAATAGCTACTCTTTTATACAAAAACTATTAGTGCTATCAGCTGCAAGGAGAAAATGGGGATAATAAATACATGTTTGTGTTCTGTAAAAATACCAGGCATCTGTGTTCCCAGGTGTCTTTTGACAACCGTTGCACCACAGGGATTGTAGATATCACAAAAGGGCAGTATCTTACGGTAATGGGGTAAAGTAGCCAAGTGATTATGGTTACTGGGCTAGTAAGCCAGAAACCCTGAGTTTAAATCCCATTTGAACCAACTGATTTTGTGTCCTGCACTATGAAAGCTGCTGAACTGTCGTAAAAACATAAGTGAGTTATTGTGCCTTTCAGGGAATGTTGTTTGACATCCCTGTAGGACTGGCTTACATATAGATCCAGTACCATACACCATCCTTCACTCAGAATGTCCTTTGAATTCATTAAGCAAGCATCACTTGTAAATATTAGCTCTGCAAGTTCAACAATACACAAATAAGGTGATAACTCTGTCATTATATCAGGGTAAGTTTAAGATGAGCTCAACTCAGTCAACTTCACAAAGTCTTTCTCACTAATGTGTGATGATTGGTGCCCATGTCAGAATAGCCTGACAAAGACATACTGACAGAATCTTATGAATCACCACGGTTCCTCATCACATTTCCCAAATATGTCCCATCGTACTTGCAGGCAGATGGGCCAGACGTTGGAGTCCAGTGACAGTCAATATTACCTCAGGAACATCATCAAGGTCAATAAAACCTCCAGCTAAATAGAATCTCACGTGTAATCCCACCAATCTGTTAGATTGTTATTCTATGTTAATTATCACTTCAAAACTTGCAAGATACAGAATGCATGATGATGTGTCATTCAAAAACCATCAAAGTGCTGAAATAGTCCTTATTACTTACAAACATTGGCTGAAGATCACAAATGTCATACTGGGATTGGACCATGTAAAATCAACAGGAGGAAACTTATTTGAATTTATTGTCACTAATCTACCTGCCACAGACATATCTATTCATCATAGCATTGGTAGAGGGACTGAACAGTTCTTGTCAAGTCAAAAACACAACTCCACGAGGATATCCTTCATTGTTCAATGTGTCACCACAACAATGCTCAGTGATATGGAACAAGAACAGATCTAGGAACCCAAAACTGATTCTCTAAAAAGGCACTGGATATATTAACAACGTAATATTGTATACTTAGCATCTGCACCCCTACTGCCTGGCACATGTTATACTCCTTGTTCGAAACAGGGAATAAATTGTGCCTCACTTCACATGTAGAATGTTGTACCAGAAGTCGTAAGAGGCTACCTAATAGGAAACATCATAGGCCTAAATGCATGTCAAACACTAAACAATGATCAAAGATAGAGTTAAATAGTTCACTCTACCAATGTATCAGTAAAAATGTTTGGCGTGATACTGCATTCAGTCAAGAACGTTGATTGTCATTCAGACAACTGACGGGAGAAGCTGGCCCTACGAGCGACCAACTGTATCCTTAACTGTAGTGGAGGTCAGGATTGTTGCAAAGACAAGGTTGAAGCGTTTGCAAGAAGCCGGAGTCAAAAAAATTGAATAAATGTCATACTCTGCCTCTTCTCAAGGATGCCACCATCATAGACAGGTCCTGTTAATTTAGTTAATCAATGTAAGAAGCAAATAAATGAATTGGAAGCATCAAATGTTATGGAGCTTGATAACATTCCAAGTGTTGTATTGAAGACCTGCCTTACTGACTGCTCGCTACAGCCTTGCTAGGGTCAGCGATATTTATTTTAGTTTCAACTCTGTCCAGACTCTTCACAGTACAGGTCAACAAGATTATCTTTCATTCCTTGAAACTCCAAACAGTGTAGGCCCAATTTAATCAACTTCTTCTCAAAATACAATTCCTCCTAGAAATCAATTTATTGATTCTTCTCTGAATTATGAAACTAAATGCAGTGGATGTCCAAAGAAACTTGGGGGTTCTGGTGCATAGAAAAGAATCCAGAAAACTAATGAAACACTGGCCTTTATATCTGGAGGACTGGAGTATAAGAATGCAGAGTATACAAAACCCTGGTTGGACCCTACTTAGAGTACTGTGAGCAGATCCGGGCATCACATCTTAGGAAGGATATATTGGCCTTGGAGGGAGTACAATGCATTTTTATAACAATGATGGTGGGATTTCACGGATTAAATTTGAGAGATTATACAAATTAGGCATTTTTTAATCTAGAATTTAGAAGGGGTGATCCGATTGAAATCTTCTAGATATTATCAGGAAAAGACAGTGTAAATAAACTATTTCCAATGGTTAGGGATTCTAGAACCAGAATGAGAATTAGAACCAGACCGAGCAACTCTGAGGAACCAAACAATTTGCACTTATATGGAGTCCTGTCATGCCCCAAGCTTCCCAAATGTCTTTAATCAGAGGATGTTCTGGAACTTATTACCATATCAAGTGGTAGCAGTGATAGCAAATGCATTGATAATTAGAAGTTGCTGGAAAAGCTCAGCAGGTCTGGCAGCATCTGTGAAGAAAAAAAATCAGATTTAATGTTTCAGATCCAGTGATGCTTCTTCAGAACTGACGCCATGTCCGCCACCTCCAGCAAGATGCCACCACCAGACACATATTCCTCTCCCCTCCCTTATCCGCCTTCCGCAGGGACTGTTCCCTCCGGGACACCCTGGTCCACACTTCCTTAACCTCCAACACCTCCCCACAGCACTACGGCACCTTCCCCTGTAACCGGCGAAGGTGCAACACCTGCCCATTTAGCTCCTCCCTCCCCACTATCCAAGGGCCCAAACATACCTTCCAGGTGAAGCAACACTTCACCTGCACTTCCAAGAATCTAGTCTACTGCATTTGCTGCTCACAATGTGGTCTCCTCTACATTGGGGAAACGAAGCGTAGACTTGGCGACAGCTTCGCAGAACATCTACGTTCTGCTCGCAAGAAAGACCCTGAACTACTTGTTGCCTGCCACTTCAATGCACCACGCTGCTCTCTGGCCAACATCTCTGTCTCTGGCTTGCTACAGTGTTCCAGTGAAGCCCAACGCAAGCTGGAGGAACAACACCTCATTTTCCGCTTGGGGACCCTACAGCCCTCTGGACACAACATTGAGTTCAATAACTTTAAAGCCTAAACTCTCCCATGTCCCAGTCCCCCACCCCACACACCAGGCCTTGTTACCACATAGCTTGCCGCTACACACTCCCTGTTGTTAGTCACTAACAGTCCCTATTAACAACTATTCACCCTCCCAGCCTGATTGTTAGCAACTCCTTTGTCTGTCCAACTGTCTTTCTCTCTCTTTGGGCTTTATCTCATCGTTTACTCCCTATCCCACCCACCTCCCTATTTTCTGCATATAAACTGACGTTTTCCCAGCCACCATCAGTTCTGAGGAAGGGTCACTGGACCCGAAACGTTAGCTCTGTTTTCTCCTCCACAGATGCTGCCAGACCTGCTGAGCTTTTCCAGCAACTGTGTTTTTGTCAGAAACACGTCATGCCTAACAAATTTGTTGGAATTTTTTGAAAATGTGGTCAAGTCTGTGGATGAGGGAAGTTCAGCTGATGTAGTTTATATTAAGGTTCCACATAGGAGACTTATTAAGAAGGTTAAAGCACATGGAATTGAGGGAAACTTGGCAAGAGGGATCAGAAACTGGCTTAGTAATTGGACACGAAGGGTAGTGGTAGAAGGCTGTTTGAACGACTAGAGGTTGGTGTCCAGTGGTGTACCACAAAGATCAGTACTGGTGCCCTTATTATCTGTTATATACAGAAATCATATAGATTAAAATGTGGGTTAGATGTTAGGAAATTTACAGACGACACCAAGACTGATAGAAGTTAATAGCGAAGAATATGGTTATAGGTTACAGGAAGATGTAGCTAGGTTGATCAGATGGGCAGACCGGTGGCAGATGGTATTTAACCTTGAGTATGTGGTGGGGGACATGACTGAGATGTATCAGATTATGAAGGGTATGGACAAGGTGAATAGAGAGCAGCTGTTCCTCTCAGTTGAAGAGTCAATCACAAGAAGGCATAGTTCTAGGATAAGGGGCAGGAGATTTGGGGAAAAACGTTTTTACTCAGCAGCTGGTGGGATTCTGGAATGCACTGCCTGGGAAGGTAGTGGAGGCCGCAAACCTTACAACCTTTAAAAAATATTTGGATGAGCACTTCAAATATCATAACATTCAAGGATATGAGACAAGTACAGGAAATTGTGATTAATGCACTTTTAGTGGTAGTTATGTGGGTACAGACTTGATGGGCCAAAAGGCCTTTTCTGCAGTGTATGAATCCATGTATCTATTAATCTTCATTCATTTTTGCTAGGTCAATATCTTGGAATTTCCAACTTTACAACTTTGTGTGTGCGTGTCTTCACCTCAAGTATTGTAGCAGATCTGAAGACTCACTGCACCTTCTTAGGGCAACAGTGTATGAGCCTTCCAAGATAGTGAGAATCCAAGAACAAGTATTAAAATAACAGTGGAGGTGTAATGACGGATGACATTTTTTGGAGCTCTGTGTGATCACTTTTAGGGATCAATGAATCACTATGCAGAAAATGGAAGGAAAGTGATACCATTCTACCCCTTAATAGAAAGGTCTGTAAACAATGTAAATCTGCTTAGATTTCAGACTGATATACAAGATAGCGATGATATTGGGTGAATAGACAGGGACAAAGGAAATGTATGCATTCACAACAGTCTTCTAGGTCACTTTGGATTGAATTTTAAATTCACTTAGTGGTGTCCAGCAGTGCACAGGAAACCTTGAGTTAACTGCAACACATCTTTCGGTGTCTCTCAACTTGATCACTACATTGCCATATTATTTGGGTTTCCCAACCAATCAGATTGAGAAAATATGATGATGACTAGTTAATTTCAACTACAGTTTTTCAACGGAAATTGCAAATATGAAATCCAAAAGATCTGTTGGAGAAAAACACAATGAATTGATAGAATGGAGTGCACGAGTTCAAAGACCACGGATTTGGTGATGCTGGGGATTTAAGGACTCACAGGAAAATGTTGTTCCCTACTAATGGGAAGAAGACCTAATCGTGAAATTTAGACAATGTGCCTGGTGTTAGTGGAGGTTAGCAGTAGGAGTGAGCTATCATGTTCCTGAATTTCAAAACTGGAAGCTGTTCAATGACTTAGGTAGGACAGGAAAGCAGAATGGAGACACACATTCATGTACATCCTGGCATATTGTCACACACAACTCCACTTTTTCCAAGTCTACTATACCATGCCATTCTTCCATCCAAAATAGTTTGCAGGCGCATCCATCCTTCTCTGTCCATATACATGATCACAGTCCCATCTGATCATCCACTATAGATACTCATTCTAAGTTTATCCATTGCCATACCTTTTCTTGCAACACCTGTAACAAACTGTTCAGTCCAACTTTTGCTATATGCTGTTCTTCTCATTCAGAGCTCCTGTTTCCGTCCTTGCAGGTAGAGCACAGGACATAAGACAGAAAACTTGAAGTGGCTCTCCCACCATCTCATTACTTACTGGCAATGCTAGAGGAGGTAGCATTGGATTTACAGAGACTCAGTGTATTGGCCTTCTGAGTTGGAGGCTACCTGGCTAACTTCTGACAGAACTAAATAGCACATAGACAAATAGTATGCAGCATTTACCCTTGATGTTAACCTGTGAATGAAATATGATCATGTGCATAATGATCAACTTCACAACGGTAGAAAGCAGTTATTCTCAGATTCAAACAGACTATGCACCAGCTCAGATACATGTCTCACTGAATTAAGGAAGATAGTTGGGCTTTCAACTGGTGCTTTGTGCATCACAAGTAAACAAGGGCAGATGATGGAGGTAGGAACAGCACAGTGAAGGAGTCAAGATACCATAACTTCTGCTCATCCGGCTTCAGATGTTGAACATTGTGACTGTTGAAGAAGAGGATAGAGCAGCAACAAAGAATGTACAGTAAACTGGCAAGCCTTCCAGTAGATCAATGTACAAAGATTGGATGAGTGCATCCCAAGTATGAGTGTCATGATGTTGACACCCTTGCAACCTTCAGGCTACGGACACTGGTGTCCCAACATTTTTTATTATTTCATTCACGAGTCCAAGCACTGCTATCTAGGCCAGATTGCTTAATTGCCTTAATTCTTTATTCCCTAATTGGCCAGAGGGTAGTGAAGCCAAGGAAGGACAACAGATTTCATTCCCTAAGTGACATTGTAAACAGGATGGGTTTTTCCAACAATTGACAATGGTTGCACAGTGACCATTAGACTCTCAACTGCATACTGTTTTTATGGAATTTAAATTCCCACCATTTGCCATGGTGGAATTTGAATTCACATCCCCAGAATATTGTCTGGATTTCTGGATTAATTTTCGAGTGAAAATACCACTAGGCCCCACCTCCCCATGTCAAGGAAGCTTACCCTCTAGTTGTATACTCTATCTTGCTCATTTGAGCTGTACTTCTCTGCTTGACTATTCTCTCTCCTTTAGAACAGCAGGCCTATAAGGAACAGGTAGTTACCGCTCCTGCTGGTGCTGTCAATGCCACTGGCCATCTTGGTCCTGATCTACACTCATGATGGTCACAGTTCCAATGTAGAGGTCAGGCAGATGAGATTTCAAAAGTGGTTAAAATAATATCTCAACATAGATAGTGTCAAACAAGAAATCATCCGAGAGATTTTGGCAATTTTTATCCCCCAATAGTCTTGTGTTCATTCCCTCAACTGTTTCTGTTTTCACCTTGCTTTCATTAGCAAGTCCTGACATTCAAGGTCCAATAGATGACCCAACTCTCTCATGGGGTCTGCTCAGTTGCAGTTATATGCAGATAAATGCAGAAGTCATTGGGTGGAAGCTGACTACCCAATGTGTTGTCAATTGCCATGATTTTAAACTTAAATGCACACAGTCCTGCAAGCTCAAACTCAGTTCTGTTTCTAAAACAAGGGAAGAAGCATTGCTCCATTTAGTTCTGGGCAATTAAGTAGAAAAGTAACTGATATACAAGTACAAAAATTGAGAAATAGCAACCATAATTTCGGTACAGTGTGAAAAATTGAAAGGAGAATACTGAAATCAAAAAGACAACATGTTGTGAGATAGAAAAGAGATCTAGCCAATGAAATTGAGCAGAAATATTAGTAAGCAGTGCAGCAGCAACAAACCTACAAACAGGCAATAACTACAGTGCAAAATAAAATATGTTTCTGCAAGGTGAAACGAGGATGCATCAAAAAAGTGTTCCACAGATAAACAGAAATTAAACTACCTGAAAAGTAATTGGGAGATATGATAAATCTGGGGCTTACTAAAGATATTCAAGAAGCAGATAAATATAAAAAAGGAAATTAATGTCACAGATTTTGTCAGCATTGATCCACTAGACAGCGTCAGAGATGGGAAAGTATTGCTGAGGATTGAAATGAAAGAACAGAGATTTAAAAGGAATGAAGCAAAGGATGCCAGATGATTTAAAAGACAATTGTAAGTTATTTTAAAAAATATTTAAATAAAACATAAATTCAAGAGAAGGTAGGAAGATTCAGGAATGAAAGAATGAATTGAGCTGCAGAGGATGAAGTTTATCATCTTCTTCATACAAAAATATAATCAATTATTTTAAATTCTGGTAGAAGTCTAAACAAAGGTTTCTTTAGAGGTGACAATGAAACAATTAGAGGTAGCTGTTATAAACAAATTGGTTTCTAAAGAAATATTGAGCCAGACAGTATTGTATAGACTGGAGCTGCATGTTGCCAGCATGTGTATTTCCCAAAGTAGCTGAAACCAAGTGAACTGTCCAAGGGTTGAAAATTCTGAAGGGTAATCCTCTACATCAGGTACCTTTCAAAAATGCTCCTTAAAGTTGGAAAATTCCAAGAGTTTCAATTCACCTAGGCTTAATAGTAACCTTGGAAAAGTTAGAAGATTAAAAACCTGTTCTAATTCTTTACGTAATAATCAAACTGAAACTCAGACTCACCACTGACCTTTGATTACAGCCCATCCCTAGATCTGGACACTTCACCCCAGATATTAACCCCTTTCATCCGATCCAACCCAACCACGATACCGCTATATACAATAAGACAGGGTTCAGTGCAGAAGTTATCTAAAAGTAAGTGAGACAGAACTTCCAACTCTAATTGGAATTTCAGGACTATTATCTTTATCAAAATCCAAGTTGGATAAGTCACCAAGTAATGACATTACAGAAAAAATGGGCTTGACACCCAAAAGAACACAGAATATAATTTGTGCTAGAAACAACATTTCAAGTTACCTCAACCTTTTGCTTGATGGTGTCTACTTGACTGATAAGTTTACAGTAGGCTTGATACAAGAGCAGTAGTTGAAAATGCAGTTTGTATAGTCTTCGACACAGCTCCAACTCCTAAAAAGAGTCAACATAAGTGAATTAGCAAATGCACTAACTTGAAGATTAATCACAGCCAGCTTTCTGCAATGAAATGTTAAAGATGGTTACTTAATAATTGCAAAGAGGAAATGCCAGCTTTAAATGAGCTGATACAATGTAAAGCCAACGAAAGGCACATGAAAGCTGACATTTGCACTACAGTCACAGTTATAACTTCAGCGTAGTAAGCAAAACATCAGCCCACTGGTACATCTGATACAAAGAAGCCAACATTACTGTGACTTACTGTTACCTAACAGTTAGTGAAAAAAAGGTTAAATCTATGACATTCAGAAAGCATGATAAATCACAGACTATTCCTCAAAATAATTTAAAATCTTACTGCTGAATTGATACCTACATATTGCATTTCCTATGCATATGAGAGATCTTAAAGTAATCTGAAACACTAGGCTAACCAAATTTGTATCCTTTATTTGGTATTATGAGTTCAAAATATCAATATGACAGAATAATCTGAATGTACTCACTCATTGTCATTAACTGCTCCCTTCTCAATGGCAATATCCCTACCAACTGGCATCCACTAGCCAACCATTCAGTATTCTCTTATACAGTACAGATGTTAGTTTCCCCTTTACTGGTATTTTTGTGATTTGTCCCATTTAGTGCAAGGTGAAAAGCTTTAATAAGATGTATTTTTTTTCAGCAATACTCAAGATTATGAAGTGAAGAAAATAACCTGGCTACTGCAGAAACAGCCAGTTTGAATCTGAACCTGCTAAGATCAAAATCTAGGCTAATGACTCTGTGTTTCATCAATATTAGTTCCCCATAATATTTTACAAGTTTCCAAATGACACACTTTCACTCATTTTACAAGTATTGCGACAATTGCTTTGTACCATCGTTAGGCAATAATTGCTATTCTCAGCTAATGAGATTACTAATTGTATAGTATTGAGAAAACACTGTTTCTCAATATCTTTTTTTGTGGTTGATACAACATTCTCCTCTTATAAATAGAAAGAAAACTGGAACAAATGGCTCCTTTGCTGTAAAATATTTTTGGTTTCGACAAATGGGTACTTTTTCTATAAATTACTAAATTCTAAACATCTACTTTAATGACAGAGTCCGACATCCCTTAGAATCCTCACTGATTTTTCATTATCTTTATTTTATTCTTTTATTAATTTTGAATTATGAGCTGGAAGTCACTAGACTTTGGGTCAGCTTGGGTTAGAAAGAAAATAACTAACCAGGCAAGGTTTGTTTGTTTGTTTGCAAGGCTAGGCCTGGAGGCTAATTGAAGGCTGAGCCTTGATTAAAAGATTTAACAGACACAGCAACTTCTGGGAAAAGCATTGTGTTTAAACAGATAGCAGAAGTTAGCTATTAAAGAAAACAGTACCTGGGAGTTGGTCTGGAGAATACCCTATCTTCAAACAGATGGCAGTTGTTGAGGTCTTGGGGAATGTTGATCAATTTATTAGAACAGAACCAGAATTAAAGTTTTTTTAAACTATTTTTCTGAGAGATGGTTCTGGGCTACTGCCGAAGCATGAAGATTTGAAAGCTCCCTGCCTAATCTGATACACCAGGTTCCAGAAGCCCAAAAATGGAAAGATAAATTAGAAATGTTGCTGTTTTTGCCAGGGTGACCTGAGAAGGTGACCTTGAACAATGCATTTTGTAGGACATTTAAGTAACTTGGCAACTTTTGTTATTCTCTTTTATTTATCCCTTAACTGTTTGTTTGTCTACCTGTCTTTTGTGTGAATGGAGCTAAAAACAAACTTTTTTTTTTCTGAAGAAGGGTCTAGGCCCAAAACGTCAGCCTTCCTGCTCCTCTGATGCTGCTTGGCCTGCTGTGTTCATCCAGCTCTACACCTTGTTATCTCTAAAAACAAATATATTGGGTTTAAAGCACAGACATTACTCAGCTTTCTGCGCTGTTTAATTTTATCTCAGCCAAAGTTAGTTAGTATTTAATAAATTAAGTCTTTTATTTAAGATACAAAACTAGTGTTTGGAAATTAATTATCCACAGGGTCTGGGATTGATTATTCAAATATCTGATTAGGAACAATTGGAGTGACTATCTGGGGGTCTTCTACAGTTTAATTTTACTGTGTTGCAAATCCAGAAGTAGAAAGGCTGCCTTGATTCGGCTACCGGTCTCTGTGTCATAACAGAAAGAAGCTATTTAGGGGGAGACAATGGCCTAGTGGTATTATCACTGGACTGTTAATCCAGAGACCCAGATATGTTCTGGCACCCAGGTTCGAATCCCACCACGGCAGATGGTGGAATTTGGATTCAATAAAATATCTGGAATTAAGAATCTGGGACTACGAATCCATTGTCGATCATCAAGAAAAACCCATCTGGTTCACTAATGTCCTTTAGGGAAAGAAACTGCCATCCTTACCTGGTCTGGCCTACATGTGACTCCAGACCCACAGCAATGTGGCTGACTCTGAACTGCCCTTTGGGCAATTAGGGATGGGCAATAAATGCTGCTTAGTCAGCGACGCCCTCATTCCATGAATGAAAAAAAACAAAAACGTCTGTACTGCCCTTTTAGAAAGAACAACTTAATTTGCTGCACTCTCCTCCTCTTTCCCCGTTTTTTTAAAGTACACAACTAATATTAATCCTAACAAATAAGTTCTTCACTAAAAATAGTCCTTGTATAGGTACATAAAAATCTTGTTATACTGAGTTATAATAGATCCAGATAAAATTCAAAGATGAATTAACCACACATTCCAAAGGGATTCCACAATGTTATTCCTTCCCCAGTTATAGTCCCAAACTAACAGGAATTTAGCTACCCCTATTTGAATTTTTCATTACTGCTGAGGGAAGTCTAAATGTACCCCTGAAGATTCTGAAGATATAATGAAATTCATCTCCATTACCATTTGAAAAGTGAAACAGCTAAAAAGAATCATGATTAATTTGGATCATCTTTCAGTCTCCCATTACTGCTAACTTTCTTGCACATTTTTTGTGCACAAAGAACCCGCAGACTTGAGCTGATTATTTGATTTGTATTAGTTTGGTCCCTTTCCATGTTAGGACCATATGAACAATGTAATTTGCACATATTTGCTTGAAACATTCAGGAATCAACAGAAATAGAAAGAATGGAGAGCTAATAAAACACAGAGGGTGGTGTGTTTAGAATTTGCTGCCCACAACTCATTTAAAAGGAATCTGGATGTTCACCTGGGCACTGTAACCTGAAAGGCCACGGACCAGGTGCTGAGAAATGGGATTAGAATAAATGGCTAGTTTATTCAGATGGCAGGAGATGTGATGGGCAAAATGGTCTCATTCACTTTTCTGTGTAACTTTTCAATGGTTCTAATGCTGAAAATAAGTGCAACTCTTTCAGGAATTATAAAAGCAAGTAAAACAGGTAAGATTTCTTGTAGAAAGCGCACAGGTAACATCAAATTACATCTAACAAAGAATCCCATCACTCAGTAAAACATGCAAAAACACTTTTAAGATCAGTTTCCATAATTTTATAATCCATCATATTCATCTGTACTTATAACCTTAAATACTTTCTTTTGTTTATTATACAAGAAGAACCTGGTTATCAAACTATCATTTGAATATCTTTTCAGAGTGAATTCTTTAAAATTTCTCAAATTAATCTCAGTCAAAAGAACTAAATAAACATAAATATAATAGCAGGCAGCTATATTATATAAGGTTAATGCAGGCATTACATTCCAGATACTTTGTACAACCAGAGTTACAGAATTTCTTATCTTGACAATATCTGAAATGTATTCAAGCTGATTAATAAGTTGACTTTCAGTCCATCACTAATGCACAATGTTTAGCTGTCAACACTTAATTAATTTATTATAAAGTGCATATACTTGTTACATTAGATCTTCAAGATAGGAATTATCTTGTACAAAATTACATTCATCATGAGCATCACCATTTCTCTGATTATTAATGTAGTAGATCTTAAAATTTAAAAAAGTTATTAAATGTGGTATTAATTGTTTAGCAAAAGTTAGACCAATTAATCAACAATAGTTTGAATATAACTTGGCACTTTTTAAAGAAAAACTAAGTTTACAATACACTGGCATAGCATACTGTTCAATTGGTTACCATGTTTAAATTAAAGGAATGTGCCCTTCCATTTATAAAGTATATTTAATGATTTAAAACATTGGGTCAACATAAAAATTGACAAACAGCATGGAAAATCATACCAATTGTAAAAGGGATGAATTATTCGAAAACATTTAGGCATTCAGAGTTGGGGCAACAGGCGACAGGAAATATTGTGAAGGAATACTGTGATGTAAAAATCAAAATCATTATATTAAAGTTCAACATTCATAAACATATGAAAAACAAATACAAAATATTATATATATTCTTGACTTTAGTTGCTAAAATGTTAACTGTCTACTTAAAAAAACAAAATGGCCAAATAAAACCCTTTTGGCTATTTCACTCTTACAATTATTGAAGTATTTAGTTTGGTTTCATTCCCATTTAATTTGTTATATTTTATGATAAAATTTAAAACCAGATATATAATAGATCTTCAGAATTACTGCTTCAACAAAAAACCAAAGCAAGAGATTAGGTACCAAATTCAAGAATAAACAGTTGTACATACCTAATGTCACAATATAATTTGTTCATATGGAATAGCTTCTGTTAATATGTAGGAAATTTTGTAAATATTTGTTGGTACATAAACCATTGTATAATATAAACTGAAAATAGTATGATTCACTAAATATTCTCCATTCAAGATTTTTAAAATTAATGTAAAGATTTGAAGTTTTATATACTATAAATAGTGTCTAAGATTTTAAATGATTTATTTCACTGTAAATTTAAACTAGTTATTGTATGGGTAAGGGAAAATATAGCATTCTATATTTAAAGTAAGAAAACAATGTTGCTATAATTATCCTCCATTTTCCATCTAAAATTAAGAATTCCTAAATCTGATGTTA